GGAAAAAGCACCTAGGGCCCCTTTTTTTTTAGTAAACAATTTAATTATATTTAGGGTATAGCAGGGCGCTGGCGCAGGGCAGGGCGCTGGCGCAGGGCAGGGCGCACAGGCTCCAGGGGCGGTGTGCGGGCTGCAGGGGCGACGCGCGGGCTGCAGGGGCGCCGCGTTGGCTGCAAGGGCATCTCGTACGGGCTGCGGGGGCCGCGCGGCTCGGCAGGTCCGCGCGAGAGCTGTAGGGGCGAACGAGCCGCAGAGGTGGCGCGCGGGCTCCAGGGGTGACGCGCGGGCTGCAGGGGCTGCGCGGACGGGCTGCAGAGGCGACGCGCGGCTCGGCAGGTCCGCGCGCGATCTGTAGGGGCGGCGCGAACGGGCCGCAGAGGCGGCGCGCGGGCTCCAGGGGCAACGCGCGGGCTGCAGGGGCCGCGCGGATCGGTAGGTCTGCGCGCGGGCTGCAGGGGCAGCGTGAACGGGCTGCAGGGGCAGCGTGAACGGGCTGCAGGGGCGACGTACGGGCTGCAGGAGCGACGTACGGGCTGCAGGGGCAGCGCGCGGGCCACAGGGGCAGGCACGGCTGCAGGGGCAGCACGGTAGCAGGGGGGAGCACAGCTGCAGGGGCAGTACGGTCGTAGGGGCGAGCACGGCTGCAGGGGCAGCGCAGTCGCAGGGGCAGCGCACGGGCTGCAAGGGTCGCGACAGTGAGAGCTAGGGGCGCCAGCGCGCTGGCTACTGTGTAGGGCGTGGCGCTACCACTAGGCGGAACGGTGGGCCCATGTAGAAACGGTTCCTACTCTGATAACATGTCAAGAATAGAACTAGGAATGAATGATTGAACTAGGCAAGAGGTGAGTACAAGTAGGGGAAACCTAACCCTAAAGTGTTGTACTCACTAAGGAGTGACCCTACTGTAGTCTAGAGATACAATTGTAATCTGACAGCATTGGGACAGGTATCGTAATTCCTCATATACAGTTTATGACTGACCCCCTGGAGTATTCCAAAAGTTGGGATTCTAAGTGATGTAGGGTAATTTGAGTAATTATGCGCAGTATAATATAAAATTTAGGAAGAGAAGCGGAGATTTGCGGCCTGCACTCGGTCCTTCCTTATGGTGTTCGTCGAAGTCTTGATCGTCAACGAGTTCCCACTCATCTGAGGTGGCGATTACAATGAAGATGCGTCCTAGCTGTTTTTTTTTTTTTTTTTTTTTTTTTTTTTTTTTTTTTGGTGAGCATAAGTACACTACATGTATACATACACTCGCAGTCGTAACTGATTCTAGGAGGGCATGCAAGTGGCTACAGGTAACCAGCCCCCCCCCTTCCACCTTACGGGGGCTGAAAGGCTACACCGCCATCTTCCCATATGGCCTTGAAACCTGCTCTCCACATCATCGAGGCTTCGGTCTCGTACAATCTGTTCAAAGTTTTTGCCTCATCAGCATTCAGATGACTCCACTCCCCTGTCCTCTTCGAACCACTCTTGCGAGCCGACCGTTTCCGCACTCTGCTGTAAATCTTCACGTGTCTTGTAAAGCCAACCGCTATGTGCCTCAGTGCTCTTTTAGGCTGAAACCGGCTGCCACGGAACACCGCATTGCACCTCTCCAGCCACACTTGCTGTGCTGTAATTGAAATGATGGCTGCTTCCGGAAAACCTGACGACGTGCCACTCTCCTGGAACAACATGTCTCCGAGGGACTTCATTTCCCTGTCAGTAGATCTGCACTGTGGATGCCCGATTGATCCTGGAGAGGGTTACAGGCGCGTTCGCCTGGGGGGTTATGGGCGCACTGACCCGCTACTGAAACAAGCCCTTTTATCCCAGTGGTCTAGTGGCTGGGATTCTGACATTCCCTGCCCGGGTTCATGCACTGTACCGCACCCTTCATTACCCTGACGACTGGCTGGATCGCCGGACAGCTGAATAAACAGTGATCCTGCGACTCCACCCCTCCGCAGTACACACATTTCGCCCTCTCCCCCAGGAAAGGGAGCCTCTTCCCCACTTGCAGGTTGTTGCTGTGCAGCCTCAGCACCACCTCCCTCGCTCTGCATGGGGTTGCCAAAGAGTCCCGAACCGTGATGGCCTTCCCCCAATCGATTTTCCTCCCTGCCACCTCCTCCCACCGCAACTGCTGCTTTGGCTGAGACAAAGAGGGTTTCATCACCTTCCTCAGCTGCTTCAGCCCAGCTCGCTCCCCTTTTTCACAGATCGGAGTGTATAGCAGCCTTGTTCTCGGGGTTCCAAGCGGGCCGCGGACTCTCCCGTCAATGACCGCCATGGGCGTAGCTCGTAGGAAATTCACCGTCGTCACGTCAGCGTACCTCACCACCGATATGAAACCTTTTTTATCCACTTCCACCATCCTCCCGTACAACACGCCGTCTTCCACGTGTTCCAGCTGGTAGTAGAGGAACTTTCCCGGCCGGTAAGACGGTGAGCAAATAAGCGCTGTCTCCCTAAAAACCTCTTCCGCTGTCAATTGGTTGAGTAGCAAATCCCTCCACCTCTGGGGCGTTGCTTCCCATGCTTTGAGAGCCCACTTCCTCTGTTCCGCACCTCCCAGCTCCTGTTCCAGGACCACCTCATTTTTGAGACTTCTGCTGCCATTTGCACCTTTGGCTATCAGGTCCCCCAGACGGACACCCTTCAAACAGTGCGAGCCCGCCTGGTTTCCGAAAGGCGAACCGCCCCTGAAGAATATCTTGCGGTTAAAAAGCAGCTGCTCCTCCTCCGCATCCCATCTGTGTATAGGGTCGCCCATGGTCACGATCTTCGATTCCCACAGCGCCTTCACTGCCGCCTTCCACCCCGTACCCCCGCCCAGCCAATGCTTCAGCACTGAGGGATGGGCGTAAATCGTGGCCAGCCCGAGTGGGAAGCCGGCCGCTCTCTCCCATAACCAGTTCCGCAGCGGCACCTGTTCCGTCAGAACTTTTCCCAAATTCTGTATCACAATGCTGTCAATCCGCTGCTTCAGATCAAGTACTCCCAGACCCCCTTCTTTCCTTCCCCTGCACGACAGCTCGTAACTCCAAAGGGTGAAGTGCCGATCAAGAAGCGCTCTTCCACCCGAGATGAAGTTGTGACATAGCCGTTTCACCTTGGTCCGAAGATCCCAGCGGAATCAGGTCGACGGACCCGAGTTGCCAGGGTCGATGAGGGGGGTCGACGGACAGGGGTCTGACAAGGCGGGCGAGTGACGCGCGTGCGGGCCCGCCAGCCTGGCCCTGGGCTGGGCCGGGCGCTCGACCGCCGCCCCGCAACCACCCCCCCGAGAGTGAACAGCGACCCACGTTACCGGGTGGGGGCGGCGAGCTGGCGAGACCTCGGGCGAGGGGAAGTAACCCTGCCGCGAAGGCAGCCCACCCCTCCCTCGTGCCCGCGAGGCCCTAGTAACCCATCGCGGCCTGCCCGTACGGGCAGGCGAGGTCCACGCGAAAATCGGGGGCTCCCCTCGGGTCGCTCGACTATTTCGCGACCCGTTGCGGTGACGCCACGTGCTCGCCCGTCATTTCGCATCGCGTGCATGAGACATTTCGTACCCCCCGAAACTCGAGCGAAAACCTGGGTCCTTCGCCACGGGGCGCACGGCTTTCGCGACCCTCTGCGAAATCGACACGTGGTGCCGAAACGTCGCACCGCGCCCACGCGAAGTTGCGTCCCCTGGCCGACCGAGGCCGGGGCACGTGACGTCGACCTGTTGGATCGGCGGCGAGGGTGCACTTGTGCCACGCAACTTGTGCACGAGCCCTGCCGAGCCAGGCATCACGGCCCCCTGGGCGACGCTCAACCGGGCCTGCGTGGCTCCGCCTGGCTTTTCTTCGTTGGAGGTGGACTGGCCCCTCATTTTCGCGTTCTCGTTTCTCTTTCATTTTTCCTCCCACCTCGGCGCCTTCCATACTCCCACCGCTTCTTCCCTTAGCCTGTAGCATAGCATCCTCGCTCTCCCGCCATGGCAGCCGGCCAGAAAGCCGCCGAAGCGGCGCCGACCTCGCTAGATTTCCCCCTGCATCTAGACATCGGTAGAGGACACACGGCCAAGTTCGAAGAGCACGACTACGCCGTTCTGACAAACCCTATGCTAGAGTTTAACGCCCGTTGCTTGGGACTCGGTCTCAAGTGAGTGTCTTATGGAGATGTCGTCGTCGACGGGCCTATTCCATGCTGGTCGGCCATGGCGGGGTTTCAATGCGTCCAGTAGTATATGTCGACGGGCTTAGAGTTCAGGCACATCACATCGGTGATGCCGACGTAATGCGTTAGGTCGTCGACGACGCTGAGTTGTGCCGAAGTCGTTCGGCTCCCGTCATTCCACCGTCGTGCCGCGCACCTATACCTCTCTAATCTGTTGTAATCATGCATGCGTGCAGGCACGCATGGATCCGCTCAACGGATGCAGGCGAGCGATTGTGGTTGATAGGAGTCGGCCGGCTTCGGGCGGCAATGGGTCAGGACGACCACACATGCTTTGCGACGATTTTCGACGCCGACGTGGCGGTTATCCCACTGATATCGAGGTGAGCAGGTTCGAGGTCCTGCTGTGTGCTGCAACCTGTGTCGGTGATTTGTTCTGAGCGCCATCGACGTGCCTTGTCTGTGCAGCATCGCACCGCTTCCGGGAGCACATTGCAGCGTTGTTCTCATCCTGTGCCCCGACGATTTGTTCAATGCCTCGGGGCAGGAGGTTAGGACCTCGATCCGGCACGCCGACCCGCAGACAGTGAAGGAGTGGCACCGCGACGAGGCGATCCGCGTGCTGAAGTGAGCTCGATAGTTTAGTCGACATCGCATACATTGTCGACACGACGCGTGCACCGTGCTAACCGACCGTCCTTGCCGTGCTTTTGCAGGTTTTTCCGGACCGCTGTTCTGGCCGAGCTGCGGCGCGAGGGTAGGAAATGGGAGTGGGCGAAGCCGTCCAAAGACGAGGTGCAGGAGAGGCTTGCCGACTGCGACGAACCCCTTCGAGATGTGAGTTCCGGACGATTCGCCGTCATATGGTGTCACATCTACGCCGCCCTCATCCTTGCTCTCTGCACTGTTGTATGCAGAAAATTCCCGATACCGTCCGGGACTCGGACGCGGGCTCCGGCCTGCTAGCAATGAGCGCGTTGATCTGGGTTGTGAGGCGGTTCCAGCGCCTGACCGGCGACCTCCGTCGCATTGCCACCAGCATGGACAAGCCCACCGTCTCGGGGTTGAAGGCGCTGCGGAACGAGATGGTAGCCCTCATCAAGAAGCAAGTCCCGCTCATACGGTCGGGGAAAACCGTTGTTGCTGCCGACGCCTGTGACGACGACGGCGAGGAAGTCCATTCTGCATCCGTACCAGTAGGGGTCGCCCCGAACGTCGCTGATGCGCGTGGCAAGTCGGGAGTCGGCGTCGACGAGGCCGATGCGGCCGCAGGAAAGGGGGTGACCGGGACCGAGGTTGTTCACGGGGATGATGATGGGGTCCAGGATCGCGAGGAGGAACGTGAGGGTGAGGGGGGCTCGGAGGAGTCGTCGGGGTCGATGTCGGGGTCGAGGTCGGGGTCGGGATCGGGCTTGGAGTCGGAGTCGGAGGAGGAGCAGGAGCAGGAGACGCAGGAGCACGAGAGGCATCACAAGGAGGAGCAGTTGGTAGAGGTGGAGGACGTGGAAATGGCGGAGGGGTACGTTGTCGGAGGAGCGGAGGGGTACGTTGTCGGAGGAGCGGAGGAAACGGGTGGGAGATCGGCGGATGTCGAGAACGACGAAGGGGAGGGGAAGGGTACGACAGCGAATATCGGCGAGGTCGGCGTGGAGGCGGCTCACGGAGGTGGTGGCATGGTCGAGGTCGGTGAAGGGGATAACGCCGCGGTCCCGGAGCAGAGGGGCGTGGATGTGCATACCGATGCCACCGCGGAGAAGGCCGGCGGGGAGCGGTCTAGGAGGAAGAAGGCGGCGAGCGGTCATCCCGGTTCCACCGCGGCTGGGCGGCAGGCGCGGCTGGACGTCGTCGATCAGCTGAGGGCGGAGAACAGGCGATTGCGTGCAGACAATGCACTCCTTGAACGGCGGCTCGGTGAGCAGACGGGGCGGGTCGACAGCTTGGCGGCGGCATTAGCTGGGCTCCTCGAGAAGGTGAAGGGTTTGACCGCCCAGGTCGCCGACACCGACCGGAAATCGGAGGAGCGCCTCAAAGAGGCCACGTCGACCATGGCGACCACAATGACCGAGGGCCTCACCGACAACATGGACAGCGCCATTCAATCGGCCAAGTCCTTCGCCGAGCTAGCGAGGCAGACGCTGCTGGATCTTGACGACCCCAAGGGACGAGCGGCGGTCGCACGCGCGACCGCGGTGAAGACAGTGACCGAGCACGTGACGGCGGAGGTGGGCGAGGCGAGGAAGGGGTTGGAGGAGTCGTTCATCAAATACATCGGCGCCGCGCAGACCAACATTGCCGCCGCCGTCGCGCCCCGCCTAGTCCAGCCGCCGCCGCCTACCGGCCCAGCGCAGGCCTTGCCGGAAGATTACCTGAAGTCTTTCAAGGAGGACGTGCTGAAGGCGGTGACGGAGACCACGCAGCAGTCCTTCCTCGCCTCCGGACTGAAGATAATGGCCGAGGTCGTCGGCACGGTGGCGTATGCTCGGCGTGGGTCGTCGCCGTCGGCAAACGACGCCGGCCAAGCGCAACCTACGGAGGGCTTGAAGCTGGGTCACAAGAGGTCGGGAGGCGGCGGGGGGGGCGACGGGGACATTTCGGCGAACACGAAGCGAAGCAAGGGAGGCGGGGGGTCTGGCGGCGGGGGGGGGGACGGAGGCGATTCGGCGGGCGCGAGGCGGACCAAGGGAGCGGCTGGTTCTCGCGTCGCCGGCGATGGGAGCATGGGAGCCGGCGACGGCAGTTCGTTGAAGCAGTCGGGGAAGAGCGTGGTCGACATCCTCAGGAAGCACTGGGCTCAGGTTGGAGCGGCCAGCACAGGCCATGGTGGTGGGGGTCCCGCCGACGAGCATGCCATTGATGACGCACTGCCAATGGCTCCGCCTTCGGTCGGCGTTAAGCCACCACGACAGGGTTGCGGTGTGAAAGGCCTGCGCGACAAGGAGAAGGCCGCCGCCAAAACGGCCCCAGGCGGGTCCGCGAAAGCTGGCCAGGGCCCGAAGACAGGGGTTGCGGAGGCGTCAGCGGTTCCTCACCAGTCTCCCGCGGGTGCACGCCATCCGACAGGACCGTCTGCCGGGCGACCTACCGACGTCCCGCGCCATGCCGACGTACCGTCTGCCGTCAAGGTTGGCCGCGCGGGAAAAGGGGCGGCAGTTGCGGACGCGCTCAAGGAGCAGCTCAGGCTCCTAGCCGGCCACAGGGCTGTTCAACAGGCCCCCCCTGCTGTCGACGTCGTCCCATCGGCCAGTGGGCCACGTGTAGTGCCGGTCGTCGCCGCCCGTACTCCTGCAGACCCAAAGTCCGCGTTGTTGCGCGCCCAGCTGGGCGCACTAGCGTCGACTGAGAGGACTCAGCAGGCTTCTGGCTCTGGCTCTAAGCCGTCGTCGGCGAATGTCGCACCACCCACCCATGTGGCAGCTGATGTGGAGAAGACGGCGGAGAAGGGCGTTCGTGCCGCGCTTGCCACCGGCGGCGGCGCCGTTGAGGAGGTCCCCGCAGACGCTGATATCGCTGCCATACAGGCCCATCTGGATGCAGCCAATCTCCGACACGGAACATGTGGAGCCTTCGGCGGGACTCGTCGGCATCGCGGCAGAGCCTAGTGCGACCGGTGATGCGGTCGGTGAGGGAAAGTCGAAACGGAAGGGGAAGGCGGGCTCACAGAGGAAGACGCGGGAGAAGTCGGAGGTGAAGGCGGCGGATAAACAGAAGGGGATGGCGGCGGAGACGGCGGCGGACAAAGATCGAGGCGGCATTGGGGAGGTTGAAGGGAAAGGGGAGAATCAGAAGTCGCCCGGCGAGGGTACGTCGACGGGGAGGAAGGGGAAGGACAAGTCGGTCGGAGAAGGTGCGTCGACCGGGAGAAAGGGGAAGGAGAAGGCGGTCGGCGAGGGTTCCTCGAAGGGGAGAAAGGGAAAGAGGAAGGCGGAGGAGGAGGATGAGGATGTCGAGGAGGTGGAGGAGGTCGAGCAGGAGGAAGAGGAGGAGGAGGAGGAGGAGGAGGAGGAGGAGGAGGAGGAGGAGGAGGGGAAGGGCAAGGAGAGGAGGGGTCATGGCATCCGACACGATACCTCGGGCGACAAGCAAGGGTGGGTCGGCGAGATTAAGGTGCACGGCATCAATCGATACATCGGCAAGTCGCGGGACAAGATGGAGCTCGCGTACGTTCACTCCATCGCGTACGTCGTCTACGACGGTTTCGTGAGCAAGGTGCTCATGACCGAGCTCACCGGCTTGGACAGCGCCGAATTGGAGAGGTGGAAGGAGGTGTGGGATGAGGTCAGGATCTTGCCGACAGGGATGTGGACGGTGATGTGGGCCCGGGGTACGCTCCTTCCAAAGACACGGTAAGTCGGCAATCCTCCGATTCAAAGTCGATGTCGTTGTCGTTGTCACTCATGTTCGCCCTGTTTGTGGTGGCGTGACAGGCTGACGGAGATCCTCGACGCGTATCGCCATTACAAGTCCACAGGCGATTGTCTCCACGCCGCGCTCCTGCCAGCGATATGGTACCCAGTCGATGCTAGCACCGAGGAAGGCCGGGAGAAGTCGGCGTCCATGATGTCGGCGATGATAGGCCGCGTGTCAATGTGCGCTGCATATGGGAAGACCGCTGCGGCAGCGGTGAAGAAGGAGGGAGACAAGGAGGAGAAGACGGATATGGCGGCATGGGCGTTAGCAGCATCCGCATGCGCTGTGTGGTGCTTCGTCGAGAATGGCGATGCCCAGCTGGCGGATGCTGTGGAAGAAGGGAAGTCGGCGGCGATCATCGGCGGAGCGAGCCAGGCGACCGCCGATGTATTCGGAAAAGTCATGGAGGCGGTGCTGAAAGCCGAGATGAACAGGGACCGCCCCTTGGGAGAGGTTGCCTACAACGTCGCGCCAGCACTCCAGAGGACCGCCCTTGATACGGTATATCCGGGGGGGAATGCTGGAGTAGATGCCGACGTTATCGCTAGAGCGACGGTTGAGACGATGGCGTTTTGGGGAATGTGCCCCGTCGCCGGGCCGAAACTAAGAGCGAGGGACATCGCGGTGCCGATTGACGCGCAGATGAAGGCCGATCTTGACAACAGGGGGAGGAAGGGTCTGAGGGGCAAGAAGGGGACGAAGACCAAGGGCGGCACGGAGAAGGTCAAGAAGTCGAAGAAGGACAGCACGACGGCCTAGTCGACGGCATGCTAAGATTGAGTGCTGCGTGGACTCGATGATGAAATGGTCGATACCGTTTTCCTTGTTTTGGCTGTCGGATCCCTTTGATGCTCTTTCTTTGTGCGTGCCTGTCTACTTTACGTAGGATGAGTAATGAACACATTAGCTAGTAATGATTGTCTACTTCAGTTTGAACGACACGTGAATGCCCCGCTAGGCCGAGAACAACAGGATCATTGAGAGAAACAAAAAGTCGACATCAGTATCAGTATGAAACATAGGCATGCTGCATCAACATCTACAACATGCAACAGGCCACAGTAGCAGGAGGCCTGGGAACATTCAAGCGGTTTTCTTGCGCTTGGTCGACTTATTGGTCGGAGGCAGCTGCCCGGCGTCGTTTTCGCGGGCCAGGTCGGCCAACGTCTTCTTCATCTGCTCAACCCAGGTGTCCGGGAACAGGTCGGCGACCCACGTTTCGGGCTTGAGCCCGCGCGCCACGAACGCACAGGCGACACGAAGCTTGGAAAATTCCGTCTTGCCGAGCCCTTTGACGCCCTTACCCTGCCCAGCATAGGTCGCTACGGCGTTCGCGTTGAGCACCGTGAGGGCATCCGCGAAGGTCCCAATGCCAGGCGCCGCTATCTTATTAAGCGCGTCGACGGTGGCTTCCGTGTCGGCTTCGCCGTCGCTCCTGCGAAGCTGGCGCACCGCATCGATGACCTTCATCATGCGGCGCACCCTCTTCCCGTGTGCTCCCTGCGAGGCTCCGTCGAGGAGGGTGTGGCGGTCGACGAATCCCGGCTCCCTGAACCTGTCGCACAGACGACGGGTGTCGGCGCTGGTGCACGAGGTCCAGAGGCGCCACACGTCCTTGACAGTCGTTGCAGTCCGCCAAGGCTGCACTACGTTCAGCTCGTAGGTAGCCTCCTCGACCGTCTGTGGGGGTTTATTGGGTTTGTTGGCTCCTCCACCCCTGCTTGCCGACTCCGCGGAGCCACCGTCGCTCGGCGACTGGTCGTTAGCAGCTGGCGGCGCCTCCGGCATCCTTCGAGCTTCTGAAACGCGGAGAGCCTCGGTGAGGCGTGTTATCTCGGCCGCGAGCGACGCGATGGTTGCGTCGCGATTCTCGATCTTCTCCTCGAGGTCGAGCTTCTGGACCGTTGACCGCTCCCTCTCGAGCTTAAGCGTCTCCGTGAGGGAGACGACCGCGAACTGGGCGTCATGGCGGACCGATATCTCTTCCAATGGTATGCGAATAACGGTGCAGATGAGGGGTTGTAGCGGTCATAGATAACATCGCGACGTCGGCATAAAAGATGACCTACCTCTGGCTGGATGAGGGTTGGATCTTGCCGCTTTTTTATGGTGTCGGTGTCGGTATTCTCGACCCTCTTCGCCCAGTGCTGGAAGAGGGGAATCCGGCAGAGCTTGGAATACTGGATGTACGGGTGCCAAGGGGTGCGGACGAGTTTCACCGCGAGGTCCTCGGCGACAATGCGGCGGAACATCAGAAGGGTGCGCCAGAAATGCACGGCCGCAACGTCGGCGTCGGACCCCTTCTTCGCGAGTTCTTCTGCCTGCAGTTAGACATCAGACGGGGGTTATTTCCATGGTGGATAGGACAGTACCATGCAAGATTGGTCGGCACCGATAAACAAACCTTGTTGAGGAGGTCGTCGACGCCGGGGAAGATGTGCTCGGCGATGAGAGCGAGGAGTTCGTCTCCCGGTTCCACCCTACTGCGACCCAAGAAGTAGTCCTGCGTGAATCCCGAATAGCCGGCCTTCTTCATCACCACGCCGACGGGAATGGACGTGATGTAGGCTCGAGTCATCTTGTCGAGAGCCCAGTGACCCAGCTCGGCTATCTCGGCGCGAGGCGTACCTTGGATGGCCAACTCCTGCGCCCCGCCCGCCCGAGCGGCATGGACGTTCCGCTTGCAGAACACCCCGTTCGTCTTCCACATCTGCCTCGTCCATCGCTGGTGGCTGGGAGCTGAGAGTTCGCCCTGCTCGGGGTCGTTGCGGGCGAAGAACAGGTGCTTCTTGTACCAGAGCTCGCGTGTGCTGGTGTCGACCGGCGGAATGAGGTCGACTCCGTGAAACTGGCCGATCTGGTCGAGGACGAAGTGTAACCACAGCCCGGTCTCGCCGACGGCGCACAACTCCGCTTCTAGGTGCCGCGCCGCGTAGCTCTGTTGAAGACGCGCATCCTTCGACGTCTTCGAGTTCCGCGCGGCGACCACCATGACGACCGGCTGGTTATCCGGGTTCACCGACGAGGTGCTCGCCAGTCGGTACAGGAAGATGTCGGGGAGCGTTATCTCGCGTATGCTTGCACCGCGCATGAGGCTGTGGTGGGAGAGCAGCGTGAGCACCTTGATGAGAAGAAACCTCCACAGCGTCTGCGAAGGTGTGGTGAAATGCGGGCTCCATGCCGACGCCGCCCAAGCCGGCAGCACCCTCGTCATTATCTGGCGGAACTGTTCGGCGGTGTATGTGTCGCCGATGGTGCCGCGTCGACGGTCGGCGCATTTACTGTCGACATAACAATATATGGATATGAATATTAGGGCGAGGAAACAAATCGATGGCGACATAACACGGCGATGCATGCCAACTTACTCGAGGTCCCTTTGATTTTTCGTGCGGACCATGACCCGCACCTCCGACCGGACCACCGAGATTTCCCGCATGATGCCCAACTCCTTCTCCTTGAAGAGCGTCGCCTCCACCCTCGCCGCCATCTGGCAGGCCTTGATGCGGCCGAGGATCATGTGCACCGTGTAGGCTCGCACTGGCTCGTTCGTGTCGGCGTCGATCTTGTACTCCCGCCTCATGAACTTGATGTAGGCGCGCAGTCGCGTACTAGTGACCCGGGGGCCGTGCAGCCATATGTGCTTCCGCTTGACCACCTTCTCGTTGTCCCAATCCTTGCTCTTGTTGTTGTGTGTCCAGTGCCCTATCTCGTCGACGTGCCTCATTTGTTCTGCTGTCGGCAGTTTGTCGCCAATTTTTTTAAGCATCTTCGCCGTCCACCTTTTGTAGTCGTATATCCATGAGGTGTAGGACTTGAGCGTGCTCTTGGCCTCTATGGTTTTCAGGTGGCGCATTCCCTCCATCACGAGCACGTCGACGCACGCGTACACCATATCTTCCTCTACGAAGTCGGCCGCCTTCCACATTTCTCGAGGGACCGACGTGTGCAGCAGATCCTCAAGCTCGTTCTCGTCCAACAGTTCCTCTATGAACGCACGTTCCCCCCTGAGTTTTTCTTCCAACGTGCGCGGACCTGCACCACGTCGGGGCCGCGGGTCGTCTTCGTCGTCCTCGTCGCTCGCCGATGAATAATCGTCCTCATCCTGGTCGCCCGATCCGTCCGGCACAGACGACGGCCCGGCCTCCCCTGCATCCGTCGGCGTCGACGTTTTGCGTGGTTTCGTGAACTCCCCTATCGGCGCGGGCGGAACGTCCTTGGTGAACTCTCCCTGCGGGATTTGGGCCAGGGCGTCGAGATCGTAAAGCAGCGGCAAAGTCGACGAGGGGTTACTGGTCGGTGTACGGTCTACCGGGCGGACGTCCTCATCCTGGCTAGCGGGGTTCATGACGTCCGTCATGTCGACATCGGCGGGGGGTGGGTTGGTTTGCGGCGGTGTCGAACGAGGCTGTCCTCTGGCCATGATACCGCGACCTAGGGCGATGGGAAGTCGGCGTGGTGAGGTCGATAAACTACTTAATGCGTATTCTATGTCGGCGGTATCTGGCAGGTCGGGACAGCAGACAATCCTACGAGAGGTCGGCGACCACGTCTGCCTACTATCACGACGCCGACGTTACGCCTCTAGAGAAAATCCAAGTGCCGGCCGTCAAGTCAGTGGTAAAAAAAAAAAAGCAATGGCACACACAATGGCAGGCGGAATGAGCGACCATTTCGGGGACCACGGATGGGGATGGTCGTGAGCGACTCCGCACCACTTGGCGCTCCACGCAAACCCCAGTGCACGACGCCGCCATGCATGTACGCTCGTGCGGCGGCGCCGTGTCCGACGTGCCACCAGGCGTGCATGGCTGCTTGCTTGAAGCGCTTCGCTCATCATGCTCTTTTCGTGGCTGCTACACGCTGGCTCTTTCGTGCGGCAACGTGGCGTGGTCCCGAATTAGGTGCACCTCGGTAGGTCGAGGTCGGGAGACACTGCCGTGTGGCACCACGATGATGCTCTTCTGGTCGACGCCGACAGGTCCCGCATCATCAGTGTCCACTGCACGTAGCCATAGATAGTGGACGGCCGGATTTCTCCTTGCGCATGTGAGCAACCGTTGGATGAATGCCGTGTGGTATGCACCGACATTGCCACGTTCATGCGCGAGATTCTCCCAAGCGAAGCACCCCGACCTTCCGTTGGCCCGTCGTGTCCAACCTGGCAGACCTAGGTGGCCCCGCCATCCAGGGGACTATCTCGGGCGTCCCTTTGTGGCCGCGTGGCGATCATCGCGGCCCGACTTGCCGAGCTGGTATTCTGACACGCGGCTGAGACGTCCTTCTCGGGATTGTCTCAGCGGAACTCTAGGTCGACAGGTCGTCGACCATCCCGAGGGCTCACCAGCACCGGGCCCAGCCAGATAGGCTGGGCTTTCCACGCGGAGGTCGTCGTGGGGTCGTCAACCACGAGGAAGGGGGTTGTCCGTTCTGAACCGCGAAAATGGGCGGCAGTTTTCGCGAAAGTGGCTGGGATTCTGACATGGTATCAGAGCGGTCTCGGGTTCGATTCCCGGTGTATGCACATGTAGGCCGTTGCCGCTGTGCTTAGTCCTGGGCCTCCCATTGTGGGGGGGTGTCAGTAGATCTGCACTGTGGATGCCCGATTGATCCTGGAGAGGGTTACAGACGCGTTCGCCTGGGGGGTTATGGGCGCACTGACCCGCTACTGAAACAAGCCCTTTTATCCCAGTGGTCTAGTGGCTGGGATTCTGACATTCCCTGCCCGGGTTCATGCACTGTACCGCACCCTTCATTAC